GGCCTGTTTAGTAGGGGGATCCTGGTACTCCTTCTCCACTAGATTGCAGCCCAGTTCCCAGGATATGTCAACTCTTGAGTGGGAGCATCCCTCCCAGTAGGAAGTCAGAATCCACTGCCCTGGGCTACTTCCTACCAGTCTGTTCAGTTCCAGGCATGGCCCTCCAGTCTTGTTGGCTGTGTAACCTGCTTCCTGTAGGGCTCCTTCTTGGGCCTTGGACCTTGCCTTGCTGCTCTCCCAATTTCCTTTGAAAGAACAGGTGTAAATGAGTGAGTCAGTGCCCCACAATGTCTTTGAGGTCTGCCCCGTCAGTTACCTCAGCTGTTGAAGGCTCTTGTGTGGAGAGACAGTGCTTACTCTCAAATGGCTGCCCAGCTAGTACTTCTTCCCTTCATGCAGGGAGACAACTAGCGCCTTCCTTGAATGAGTACTAATGAGACCTGAATTGAGGCGGGCTGTCATCTCCTCTACCAACCATCAGTCTTGCCTTTGGCCATGCTTATAGTAGGGCAGGGCTAGCTGGGCCCAGAGGCTCTCTATAATCCCTGCTGTGCTAGCTGGCAGTTTCTCTGCTTCATCACAGCATTGTAAAATTGGATTTGCTATTTTGTAGCAGCACTGCATTTTTTACTCTTATTGAGGTTGTGATCCACAACAACAACCAGCTCCTTCTAAGCAGTGTTGCTGCCAAGCCAAATATCCCTTGATCTGTATTTCTGTGTTATAGAAGGAGAACCTTAGTGTAGCACCTTACATTTGATTTAGTTGACATTTTTTCTTGTCTTTACTCTAGGGATAGTAATAGAGAAAGAGCCTTGTTAGTCTGATCTTGCTAAAACAAAAGGAAAAACTATGTAGCATAGTAGCATATATACCAAAGGAATGCAATGAAAAAAGCAAACACATTATTAAACTATATGGTCATGCCAATTCTCTTCCAGAATATGATCTGAGGAAGTGGGTCTGGCCCACAAAAGCTCATCGCCTATTAAACCATCTTGTTAGTCTTTAAAGTGCTAGAGATTTCAACACCAGATTACAGAGGGAAACTTCAGAACTTTCTTTCATGCTTAAATTTGACACTTTACAAGTGGGCCTTAACAAAGATGCTAATTAACTTAAGCATTACAAAGATAGCTTCCCACTTATCACCCCTGATTAACCATTCATTGACTCAAATAGCTATTCCCTTCCTCCCTCCCCCTCACCCCACTTCCTGTACTAAATCTGATTTGTCAGTTTAATAATGTGTTCACTTTTTTCATTGTATTCTTTTGGTATATATGGTCATGCCAATTCTCTTCCAGAATATGATCTGAGGAAGTGGGTCTGGCCTATGAAAGCTCTTCACCTATTAAACCACCTTGTTAGTCTTTAAAGTGCTACATAGTTTTTCCATTTTTTTTACTCTAGGGATGTTAGTGTATAGTCAAGTAAATGATTAACCAATAAACCTAGGCTTATCAATTAATCTTATCAACTACATGCACTTCCCTCCCCCTTGCTGCTTCTTTATCAGAGAGAGCAAGGGGGAGCAGGATTCAGTGCCTCTGAGGAGCTTGCTTTAAGCAGGCTCCTCACAAGCACCAGATCTGCCTGCCCCTCCCTTCCACCTCCACACCTCTATCTCTGATAAAAAGGCAGTGGTGGGGACGGTGAAAGGGGTAGGCTGAAGTCAATTTGCGTGGGGCTCCAGCTTTCAAGTCAGCTCTCTGTGAGTATCAGTGCCCACAGACCCATCTGCACCCCATTTGCAGCCTCCTATCTGAGGCAGCAGCACAGGAGGGGGAGTGCAGGGGGGAAGTTGCCTCAAAGCAGCCTCTGTCCACTGCGAGCCTGGGCCCACAACAGACAGAGGCTGCTTTGGGCAGCAGCTCCTGTCTTCAGGGGAGCCCAGCTGACATTCCATGGAGCAGCTTCTGTCTGCAATGAGATTGGGCCTGCTGCGGACAGAAGCTGGTCCTTGGCAACAGCCTCTGTCCATGGATCTTATTGGCTAATCCTAATGACTACACACATTCCCCTCTCTATTGCTGCCTTTGTATGAGAGGCAGCAGTGCAGGGCAGCAGGCAGCTGGTCTGTGTGAGGAGCTGTTTTTAAACCCGCTCCCCTCGTGGACCTGGTCCCGCCTGGCACCCCACACTACTGCCTCTATATCAGGGTATGTCTACACTACAAAGTTAGTTCGAACTAACATCCGTTAGTTCGAACTAACTTTCCTAGGCGCTACACTAGCGCTCCGTTAGTTCGAACTTAATTCGAACTAACGGAGCGCTTAGTTCGAACTAGGTAAACCTCATTTTACGAGGATTAAGCCTAGTTCGAACTAGCTAGTTCGAATTAAGGGCTGTGTAAACCCTTAATTCGAACTAGTGGGAGGCTAAGGCTTCCCAGGTTTCCCTGGTGGCCACTCTGGCCAACACCAGGGAAACTCTATTGCCCCCCTCCCGGCCCCGGA